CAGAGACAGACTCAGAGACAGACTCAGAGACAGACTCAGTGACTGACCCAGAGCCAAACTCAGAGACAGACTCAGAGACATTCCACAGCTTCAGATGGTTTTAGGATTAAAGACAACAGGTGGAGCTGAAACTTCAGCGCCTGTTTTTTGAGTTGTCGACCAAGAACACACCGATCTGCTGCACCAGAACCAGGTGAACCTCCAGAACCAAACAAAGGTCCACTGTGATGATTCAAACTACAACAACTGTTAGTCTCTAATAAATCATTCTCTGTAACAAAACAACACAATGTCCTTTTGGAGACTTCAGCGTGGAGATGTGTACGCCACACGGCCAACAGCTCAGCTACAACACATCCCAGCAGACCAACCAAAGACACAGAGCCCATCTGTCCCTCATGTTCATGACCTCCGGCTGCAGGACTGAGAGGTCAAAAGTCAGGCCAACCTTCAGGGGTGCAGAACAAGCAGCTGCAGGACACCTGGAGACAGCTGTGACAACTCTGTCCATGTTGGTGGGACCCCCCCCCACCCCCCTGCACAACACCGAAGCCACTGCTCTTCTGGATGTGTCACTGTGTTGAGGTCCAACCACAAGGACCAGAGATTCACGTCCTCCTTCTGGATGTCCAGTGTCTCTGACATGGTCTCAAAACATAAAATCTCAACTCGTTGGTAATCTGCTGGAGGATTCTAAATGAGACCAACTCTGTATTTACATGTTAGATGTTTGTGTGAATCAAACAAAACACGAGGATCTGTGAATCTCAAGGTGCCAGAACTTGGTCTCAATGAACATGAGTAATCAGATCAGGTGTTTACACTACGTGAACCATTTTTAAGAAATGATGAGGTCACTTTGAATGAACGACAGCAACATGTCTGTTTAAAGTTGTTCCAGGTCCAGGTGTCCTCTGAGGAACCTCAGAGTTGTGACAGGTTTCCTCTCAGATGGATTTTCTCCAAACTCATCCCAGTACATTTCAAACCATCATGACTCTCAGACAGAGGCTGGTCCACCCTAAGGACATAAACACAGAGTGGTGTGGTGTCTGCAGTCCAGTGCAGCGAAGAAGGTCCACATCTTTATATTAGAGAAACCAAACAGCTTCTACACAGACGCATGGCTCAACACAGGAGAGCCACCTCCTCAGGACAAGACTCAGACGTTCACCTACACCTCAAGGATAAGGGACACTCTTTTGAGGACCAGAATGTTTACATTTTGGACTGAGAAAACAGATGGTTTGAGATGGTTGTGAAGGAGGCCATCTACGTAAAAAGAGAGAAACTATCTTTAAACAGAGGAGGTCTGATTTAAAAACACTTATAATGCAGTTTTAGGACTGATACCATCAGTTTCACTCCAATCAAGAACTCCATCCATGTGACCAGAGTGGCCCATCTGTGAGTCAGACTAACAGAGACCCTAACAGACCTCTATGGTGAGGAGTGAAAGGGCAATCTGCATGTGAACCTAGCTTACAGATCACCTCAACTTGTAACTCAAACTCCACACCCTCTCCATTCTTTGAATTGAGAAAGCTCCTCAGAGGAGAAGCGAAACGTCTCGAGCTACAAAGTAAAGTCCAGTTGTTTGTTTTTAACTTTTTTTTTTAAATTTCCTCTGAGAAGCACTGCATGTGAGGGTCTGAAGACCACCACCATCCAGTACTGGCCTCCAGCCTCGTCCTTGGAGCTCAAAGTTCTACAGAAACTTGCAGAAAATCAAATTTACTTCTACACCTGTATAACCTTAATGTTAAACCAATTCAAGATGGCCGTTTCAGCCAAGTGACCTTAAAAACCCAAAAACATCATAAATTTGTGGGTTTTATGGATATTTTGCTAGAATTTAGTGGCCGAGTCAAAACAAGTTGATTGTGCTGCTTAAGCCTTTTAATAAAACTTTACTGATGAACATTTGAGTGAGTTTCATTCCAGACGGCACATCAGGTGACTCTAACCAGCTTTAACTCCGCCCCATTTTCCAGATGTGGATGTAAACTGTGACCTGTCACATCGGATCGAGGATTACGTCACCAAGTGGTATTTTGAGATGTAGGCAGCTACATTGGTTAGAAATATGTGATAAGTGGGTTGTGTCAAAATATTTTGAATACTAATAAATCCATAATAAAACTTTAAAGAATGTTTTGAAGCACTTTTCTGAGCACAACCAACAACTATCAATGAAAGTGAGTGGAAAACCCCACATGTCCGTTACTTTCCCTGCTCATTAGTGAAGCTACCGTGTTTTTCAGACTGTAAGGTGCATTAAGCGAAACAAGTTCATTTTGACAGATTTTTGAGCGCCGTGTACCAAATATAATCAGTTCGAGGTCAGTAAGCACAACCAGAATTAATACATAAGGCGCACCGGATTATAAGGCTCACTGTCGATTTTTGATGAAAATAAAGGATTTTTAAGTGCGTCTTATAGTCTGAAAAATACGGTATTTTCAGTAGAAGCTGGGAAATACCAATACATAAAAGGGGTTTGGGGTTCCTCTTCAAAATGGTGATAAGAAATCCCCATACGAACATGATAAAATCTGGATTCGGACAGATTTTCCAGGGGTTATCAGACGAATCAAGCCGTATTCCTGGAAGTACTCATGATATCAGAATGATCTTGTGTCCAAATGAGGCTTAAACAAGCAGGAAGTGGAAAACCTGCTTAGTTTATTTGATACCTGGTTTGATGGGATGGTCACAAATGAGGTGTGGTAGTAGCCGACCGTCATCTTCAACACACTCTGCGTGGAGATCTACAAATTTTGAACAAAACTGCCACAACACAAGGTGATTATGGCCTAAAAGGAAAACCAGGAGTTGAGCGAAGAATCCTTTCAGGATCTGCTCCCTCCACAGGAACCACATGAACTTCAGCCTTTGGTTCTGGAACAGGTCCAAGTCTGAAGCAGGAGGAGGATACAGCAAAGTGCACGGAAGGAAGACTAGAAAAATGCCTCCATATTGGTTTCTGCAGCAACTCTTGTTTCTTCACACTGACCGAGTGAAGGAGTGAAAAAACACAAACTGTGACCAAGATACACAACTCTGAGAAAGGTGAAGACGTTGTTCCAGTATATAGGTTGACCCCCTACCCACCCCGCCCCCGTGTCCCATCTCCTCCTGCTTTGCCACAGAATTTTAAACAAATACTCAAAATATACAGAAAATATGGAAATATAATATATATATAGATACATTTAGAGTAAGGAAGTAATGTTCAGGGCAGTTCGACCAGGTCCACGCTGTCCACGTTCTTCATGAAGCGCCACATCTCCTTCTTGTCACCGGGGGGTGGGGGTGGGGGGTCCGGACCACTCTGCAGTGCTCCGCAGGAAATTATGCTAACAAAAATAAATACTATGACTCCATCCCACTGGCACTCAACAACATATTTCCATTTGAGATATAACGTGTTTAAATCAAAAATAGTTCTTTTGATTCTTCTTCGTGTGAGATTCTTTTTGTTGCATTTATTTTATTTTTTTTGCATTTTTATCTCCAAAATACAGTGTAAAAAGTCATCCTCATCACGTTGAAAAAATATAGACCTCTGATTGGCTCTGCTGTCGTCAGGTGTCAGACGTCCCTCTGGTCCAGGGGGTGCAGCAGCACCTGTGGGCGACAGCATCGTTTGGTAGGAACCCGATCCCAGCTGTAAACACACTCAGACAAGCTCAGGGTCGATGTCGGCGCCGCCCGTTGGCATCCGGTTGCAGAACACACCTCCAAGCATTCTTACAGGAGGGGATGAGGGAGGGAGAGGAGGAGTTTCAGAAAACCCCACGTTGGCCTCTCCTGTATGTTCTGACCATTCAAGACTGGTCCAAACTCTACAGCGAGACGCCCCTCTTACAGCTGAAGTTCTGGGTTTCTATTCGGTGAGTCCGGTCCGTTTAAAAGCCTTCTATATGACAGTAGGCCTCCAGACTGGAGAAGAGAATGTAAAGGAACCACAGGCTGAAAAGGAAGGCTGATGTGGCCAGTCTGTGCCGCCTGGGCCCCCCCAGTTCTCCCCCAATGTGGGCGCGGCGGCGGTAAAGCAGCACCGACACAGCCAGGAAGGCGAAGATGGTGAAGAGAGTGACGGAGAACGCCAGCGAGCCGGCCTCCACCACAAATGGCTTCCCTTTCATTTGCCAATAAATGGCCGCCACCGACCAGGCCATGCCGATTCCCAGGAAGACGTTGACGGCGTTGCTGCCAGTCACGTTCCCAATGGAGGCGTCCGCATACGTGTCCTGGACCGCCGCCACCTTACTGGCAAAGGTGTCTGTGGAGAGAGAAGACGTTTGACATCCAGAGGTCTCAGCAGAACATCAACACAGGTGACCAGAGCCGGACCGCTGACGAGCCGAAACCACGGCAGAATTTCTGGAGTTTCTATCACCAGTTTGGTGTGGTAGTAGCTGAGCATTGTCCACAACACATACTCTGATGGTCTTTGCTTGAAACCTTGGCATTAACCGCTGGGGTCAACCTGGTTTGTCTTTTAGTAAAATATCCAAACAAATCCCTGAACGAATTTCAATAAAGCTCAGTTTTTATTGGTTGTGCACCTACAACGGATTAAACTTTGAAGGCAGCTCAATACAAGATGGCTGCCGTAACTAATCGACCTTAGCCTCAACAAAAATGGCTGTAACTCAGTCCGTTTCACAAATATTGATCAAAGATTTGGTGTATTAGTAGTTGATAGTTGTGAGATTGAGCAAATTGGCATTTCCAAGGTTTGACCAAACTTCAGAATACCCGTACGGACAGAGAAGACCATCAGTGTCCCTCGCCTGGACATGAGTTACTGGGCCCCACCCTGGAGCCAGGTCTGGGGGAGGGGCTTGTTGGCAAGCGCCTTGTGATTAGGCCTTTACACACGGGGTCCTGTGGGCCCACCGCCTGCAGGACGGGTCGTACGAGTCGGGTGGGTGGTAGCTGGAAAAAAGCTTTAAGCATTTAGTTCATGTTTCATGTGCTCGGGTGGAACGTGTCAACATCTGCCTCATGGGATCTTTTTAAAGCTTAGAGTATGTGTTAGGTATGACCCTCAGCTACTACCACATCAGGCTTGAGGTCATCATCTGTAAAACTGACAGAGTTATTGTCATGCTTTTTTTTTTTTAATAAGGTCAGTTATGTAGCTGTTGCAGCCATTTTGAATTAGCCTGACTAACAGCTGTAGATGTGCATGTCATGACCAAAGTTTTATTAACATCTGTCCAGTCGTTCGACATATTTTGCTAACAGACAGCGTTGACTCTAAATAGTTAATGGCCAATCCTGTGCTCAGAATATGTGTAAGGATCAGTCTCATACACTACCACACCAAACAGGTGAAAATTGAGAAGTTAAACCCGTTCTGGTCGTTTAGCAGGTCAGCGGGTCTTGGTGGCGCCGCTGGGCTCACCTGGGACCGACGTGCCGAGGGCGACAAACACCACAGCGGTGACCGAGTCCTTGAGGCCGATGGTGCAGCCGAAGTGAGAGGCCAGGTCACCGATGACGGCTGTGAGCAAGCCGATGATGATGATGGAGATGGTGAAGCAGGCCCAGCCGTTCAAGTAGTCCGTGGGAGGAACGCAGGCGAACAGCACCTTCCAGAAGACGGTGAGGAAGTGCATGACGTAGTCGAAGCAGGACGGAAGGCGTTCCTCTCCTGTGTCGTCCTCATCCTCATCTCCTGGGCAGAAGTGTGGCCGAACGAGTGGAGGAGACAGAGCAGGGTTGAAACGTGACGAAGGGGCGGGGGTGGGGGAGCACAGAATGAGACGAGGATGAAGGAAGAGGGGTGAAGAAGGAGAACAAAACATAAAGAGCAAGAAGGAAAAAAGAACAGATAAGAGAGGGGAGGAAACAAAAATGATGACAGGTGAGGACCAGAGAGATGGAAGAGCGGCAGAACAAATGGAAGGGGGGGGGGGGGGGGGGGCAGAGAAGGAAGGAAAGAGAAGAAGAACCACTTAAAACGACTTTCCACTCATTTCTCAGTGTGACCCTCAGCTGGAGGGAACCTCATGCACGTTCAACACTAAACGTGCCGACGGCCACAAACAGCTGCTGGTCTGAAAACACAGTGAGTTCTGATGATTGAAACGCTTATGTGCGCTAGCTGCTGAATGCTGGCTGCTGAATGCTAGCTGCTGACTGCTAGCTGCTGAATGCTAGCTGCTGAATGCTAGCTGCTGAATGCTA